TTTATTTTGTTAAGTACGAGCTACGTGGCGCGAAGCGACGCGGGAAGAGCGGAGCGCGATGCCTGTCACGCAGCAGGCTGCGTCCTGCCTTAGCAAGGGGCGTCCTGAGGGTCCGTCGGGTTACGTGTCAGGGCAGCTCCCGACGAGTGCGGCGGCGTGACGGCAGCATGCCAGTTCAAACCTGAAACTCCGAGTGACCAAAGAACGTCTTCTCATAGAGCCAAGCAGATCCCGGCTTCCCTTCAGCGTTAGTTTTCTTTATGCACTGCGAGAAATTTAGGATGGCTGTCTCACTTTGCATTTTTCCATTTGACTGTTTCTCCATTTACGAATGTTTTTTTGACTTGCAGGGTGACTTTGTAGATAGAGGTTATTATAGTCTTGAGACTTTCACTTACCTTCTTGCACTAAAAGCTAAGTGGCCTGATCGTATCACACTGTTGCGAGGCAATCATGAAAGCAGGCAGATAACACAAGTGTATGGATTTTATGGTAAGTCTTTATCCAAACGATTTCTGAATGGGGGCTAACGTGTAATAAACGAGTACGGCATCTTTCCCTTTGGGAACCCGTTTTGAGTGCAGCACGACCTGGGGCTTTCCTGGGACTGGATGGGAAGCGGGCTCAGTAGAACTTGAATGTTATCATTTGTTAACGCGACCGTCATGTTCGTGAAGTAGAACGTGTTTTAGTCCGGACCTCACTGCTCCTTTCCTCCAGCGTCTGGGGTTTCTGGGTTTTTTTGGTGCCACATTCAATTTTAGAGACAGAGAAGGAGCATATATTTATGCAGAATGTGCTTCAGTGTCTTGTAGTGGAAGGTTCTACGCGAAGCCATGATGTTACTGTAATTCCCCTTAAGTTTCAGTATAACTAAAAATCGGTATCACACATAGGGTTTGCTGTGGAAGTCATTTATTGTCAACAGTGAGCACCTGGGAAAATGCCACTGGCAAGAAATAAGCAACAGAACAACTGTTTGAAAAACTGAGGGGTTTAAATTGCTTGGAAACTTCTCTGTGGTTGTGTGAGGCTTTGATAAAAGCTGAGGAAATCCTGGAAAATACCTAACGCCTGCCACGAAGAATAATGTCTGTTACTTACTTTTTTTTTTTGGATAATGTTCAACAAGAGCAAGTACAAATGTTCACAGGTCGCTTAAGAAACGCCTGCCCGTCAGGTTTATTGCCAGGTTCGTGAAGCTTTAAACAAAGCCACTGTAACTCCCGTTTGTGGCAAGAGTACCTTCCACCAGCCCTGGTCAGTTCACGCTTTCTGCCTCAATTCTGCTGTATAAAATTTGCAAATTTAAGCGCTTGGCTGGTCTGGTCAAGGGTCAGTTCCCAGCCGGCCAGCCGTGGGAAGCACCGAAAGCATCGTCAGCCGCGTTGGGTGTTTTCTCTGCACCGCCGGGCGTGTTGCTCAGTCAGTGAAGACCAAGAGGCACCTCGGTCCCTGCCTGCGGGTGGGCCTGGCCAGCAGTAGGACCGAGCGCTTCCCACCGGCCGTTACTGGTGCTCCCGATAGGGTTTTTATTGTACGTCTGGCTTTCGAGTTCTGCTGTAAGTGTTTGCCTGTGATCTTATTGCCTGAATTCCTTCTGATCCATTAAGAAGAAAAAAATTCTCTGTTTAACAGATGAGTGCCAAACCAAATACGGAAATGCTAATGCTTGGAGATACTGTACCAAAGTCTTTGACATGCTCACAATAGCAGCTGTAAGTGCAAACGCTCCGTTAAAAAAGTACAGGTGGATTGTCTGAATGTGACTGCTAGAATTGGTGACCTTTAAGGGTCACGCTGGTAGCGTTCTGGGCTGGATTAAAATATTGAGTATTTTGCACGTGTCTTTTTTTTCCCTCCAGTTAATAGATGAGCAGATTCTCTGTGTGCATGGTGGTCTCTCTCCAGACATCAAGACACTCGATCAGATTCGAACCATTGAACGTAATCAAGAAATTCCTCACAAAGGCGCTTTCTGTGACCTTGTTTGGTCTGATCCAGAAGACGTCGATACGTGGGCGATCAGTCCGCGAGGAGCAGGCTGGCTCTTCGGTGCGAAGGTGACGAATGAGGTAATGATGCTGTTGTATGCAACACAAAGTAACTGCAGGTATGAGATAAATTGAAGCGTTCAGCTACGAGTTTGATGTTTACCCCTAGCGACGAATGGATCAAGGGCGCTGTGAGATGATGAACCTTCCTTGTAAGACCACTGCGAGTCAGTCATGGTGCTGGAGAAGGTTCACTCAGGCCAACTTGATAAAATGAGCCATTTGACCTTAAAAGCATAAACACAACTGCCAGATGCGATGATACCGATCTTGCTTTTGAAAAGCGTAATGCAGTGAGACTAACTAGTATCACTGGGGTTTGTGTGGAATACTTTTCTAAGGATTTAGGAGGAAAAAAAATACCGTACCACTTTTCTTAACAATTCTTGACTTAATTTTTGTTACTTTGGAAAGCAGCGAGCAGACTCCTCAGGGCTGACACGCGCTGACCTTCCCAGGCTCCTCAACCAGCTGCGTTGCGAATGCCGGGCTCGTGCCGGGCGTTGTCTCTCTGGCCTTTCCGCCGCACGTCTGGGAAGGATGGAGCCTTGCGGACGGCAGAGACTTGGGCATCGCAGCTGTCACCTGCGTTTCATAGGTGTTTTTCGCTGCTCAGGTCTCAGATTTATTTTTTTTTCCAGTGCACTGGGTGAAAAAGCTTCTCTTTGACCCCTTCACGGCGTGCGTGTGCCAGGGCTATTGTGTGGGCGGTGGCATGCAGCCGCTCAGGGAAAACTGACCTTCCTTTTTTCCTTTACAGTTTGTTCACATCAACAACTTGAAGCTCATCTGCAGAGCGCACCAGCTAGTTCACGAGGGCTATAAATTCATGTTTGATGAGAAATTGGTAACGGTATGGTCCGCCCCAAATTACTGCTACCGCTGTGGAAATATTGCGTCAATCATGGTCTTTAAAGATGTAAATACAAGAGAACCAAAGTTATTCCGCGCAGTTCCAGATTCAGAACGTGTAATTCCTCCTAGAACAACCACACCGTATTTCCTCTGAGACCTTTCCCCGCCTGCTGTCTCCCTCTTCCCTTGTGCGGTCCCCTTACAATATACTTTTTATTGAGCACTTTGCTGCTGAAATGCTGCCTCTTGCCTTTTTTATTTTTAAATTATCTAAATTTATTGTGTATTACGGTGTCTGTAGCAAGTTTCTCCCCTCCCCCCCCCCCCCCCCCCAAAAAATTCTAGAG